TACTGATGCGTTGACAATGTTGGCATATTCCACAATTGCTTTGAAACACATGACACACCATCAAAGTGGTGTGCAAGTGTTCCCATAACTTGTTGACTTTGCGTCAATTTCTAAAACGCGACACATTTAGAGGTCACGCGGTTGCATAAGTCGAGCCCCCGATTTGCGAAGCCCACAACGTGTATTCGCACCTATCCAGTTTCTTGTGATAGTCAAGGCAAGGCTTCTTGCCTTCAAGTCCAGACAACCTACAAGTGAGGAGTCCATAATGGATGCGGCAGTGGTTGCGGGTTGGCACTGCGGCGGCGGCGGCGCTGGTGGATGGGCTTGACTTTCATGATGATGATGATGACGTTGATGATGACCAACAGTCGTCGAAGAAACAGGAAGGACAGGGGGTGAGTAAAGCGACGCCGGAACTGTTGTGCTTGCTAATGATGCCACCACAGGCGGCGAAGTGGTCACCATCGGTGACTGGGCTGAGGTGCTGCAGCGAGAGGCGGACAGCATCCCAAAACCCGACTTGAATGGGGGCAAACTGCGTGCGAAGCTACCGGTGTAAGTGGATGGCGCAGAATGATGCTGCGGAGAGCCTGTGAAAAAGGCACCACCTCCACCACCACCATCACCACCGACGCCGCCGCCACTGCAGCTTGAAGAGCCTGATAGGGAGACATAGACATAGACCGATTGCGACTTCAGACACAGCCTTGAATGCATTTTAGTGTAAAGTACACTTAGAGTAAAATGGCCGTGTATGGCATGCTTCAATTAACTTATGCTCTATTACTGCAACATGACCATTACCTGTTGCATCATCTGGCCAGGCTCATGCAACGACATGCGCCACGGGGATGTTACGAGATGCGGGTGCTGCTGTTGCTGCATCATGTCTTGCTGTTGTCTCTGCTGACATAAGAGCTGCTGCTGCAGCTGCTGCTGCTGCAGGTGTTCATGAGATGTTTGCGCAGGAGATACAGACGAGGGATGCCCACCAGCCGACCACCACGGATGCTGGTGCGAGGGCGTGAGGGGAGAGTTGATCCTTGCGAAGCCCAAGGGGCGACAATATGGGGGTGGTTTTGTGGGACGTGGCGGGTAGGACCACTGTTGCTGCTGCGCCCGGGTCGACAGTGGTTGTAGCTGATAATGATGGAAATGTA